CTTCCCTAAGGTTTATGAAGTTGGCTTTCTTAAAGTCAAGAAATTGAGTCCTAGAAGTATGCCTGATTGCAAAGCAGCAAAAACATGCCACAGCCTGCTAGTCTCACATTATAAAATTTGTACACGCCATGAGAATATACCCTAGAGCAGACCTAACACTTCCCTGCAATTGTGTATTGCAGAGATTGGGAGAACTGGGCAAGCTGTCTTTAATGCAAGCTTGAGCACCATTGTAGATCTGATTTCAGTCTTGTAACTGGATTATTGTGTCTGCAATTTTATATTGTTTTTATTTTACATTGTTTTGAGTATTATTGTAAGCTGCCTTGGAAGGGCTTTACCTCGAAAGCTAACATATAAATGTGTTAAATAAGTAAATAAATAGCCTGGACTTAAAGCCTTTTATAAACACAGGTCTGTTTAAATCTTCCTTTTCAAATAAAGTAAAGAAACGTTCTAAGGTTACATCTGAGCATACCTGAATATGCATTCAAAGTTTTGGAGAGGCTGTGTCACATTTCAAGTGCTTGCAAAAATGTTAATACTCCAAACAGAGCTGCTCCTCCACTTAAGCCTTCCTTCATCAGTCTCTCGGTGTCACATACAGCCTTGAGGATGACCTCCCTTTCTTGTATCAACACATTTGACTGCCAAGTAGTCCGTTCATTTGAAAAAGGGACTCTGCTGATAATATTTCTGAATGACACTCAGTGCGGGATTTTATTGGAAGACTGCAAAATCGCACTGCCAAGCAACCAGATAACCTTCTCTCACCCCACCGTTGACAGAAGCTTATTTGTCTAAACAAATGAGCGGGGGAAAGAGAGAGGACAAAGAGGAGAGCAAAAAGGTTTACTAAACAGACTGCTCAATTCTCAATGAAGTATCAATAACGGAGGAGTGTGAATGAGATGCGGTGCTGTAGAAAGAAAGAAAGAAATCTTAAGGGGCAAGGTGATGGATGCAGCTATGTATCTTGTGCTTTTATAACATTGTAACCTGCTCCAGGACCTTAAGGTGAAAGGTTGCTACACAACTTTGTCCTCTACGATCTAGCAACAGTTCCTTTGCAGCAGACTGCTGGGAACAATGTATTTGAAACACTGTAGTTATATGATATATGACTTACTAACCAGTTTAAAATAGATTCCCTGTGGTTAATCATATAAACATTGATCATAGGCTTCAAAGTTGCCTCTACAACAGTCTGCATTCCCAAGAAACCTATAAAGCAAGCACTGAAGATAGTTGGTTTAGTTTGGGCAAGGTCTCCAGACTTTCACAAATTTGCAGGAGGATTCCACCCTAGAAATTTTGATTTTCCAAATTAAAGCAGATTAAACAGCTGCGGCAAAGCAAAACCCCTTTTTTTACATTTTTAAAAATGGACTTTTGTGGTAAGGAATGTGATGCAGGTTGCACTAAAAAGTGCATTAAGAACCAAAGAAATAAGAACCAATTGACAAGAACCTTTGGGCAAGCAAATTCTGGATGGATGCTCAAGATACAGGCCATATGAAGGGGCACAGTGTGTTCTTTCCTGAAATGGCTGGATGGGAGCTGTTTGCAACAAAGCTGTGACTGTTTTGGAAAATGCTGTAGGAGGGATGGTAAATATCATATGAGAACTTCAAAGTGAGAAAACTACTAAACAGAAGGAACCCTTCTACACACACACACACGAGTTTTATATTGGTGTGGGAATGAAAAAGAGGAGACATTTGTCACTGTCAAGAAGGAATGCATTGCAAGAAAAAGTAGAGAACTGTGGCCTTGTCAGTGATTTTTCCCCCAAAGAAAAAAGTGCAGCTTCAAGCTTGCTTTGCAGAACAATGTCATTTATTGTTTTGAGAATGGAGAGGAAAATGCCACTCCTTCTGGAGGATGGCCTGGAATTGAAGACTCAGGCATCTTTCCAAATAACTAAAGTAAGAGAGGAACAATTACAACGATTATTCTTAATAAGTAACTAATTATGAATGCAAAAAGGTTAATGCTATTTGAATCATGTATGTTTTAAATTATTACATTGTAGCTTTGTCTGCAAGTATCATTTTACTGTTGTGTGAATCTTACAATTAGTAGCTGTAAATGTTAACAAATAAAAAGACTTCCTTGGATTTCAGTGCGTATCCCCCCCGCCCCCATTCCTCAGCTAATCCTAACAGCAGGCTCTCTTACATTTGTCCCTTACTATATGCTTTGCTCATTTTGTTACTTATTGAATTAGCTGCTTAATAAGAATGTGCTCTTATTAACTTCATCAGGTGTTAGATCAGGTCCTAAGAAATTACTTGATCTTGCTCTAATTGAGGTCAGCAGTTGAAAAAGGCAAAAGCCCTAAATGGCCAATGCAATAAGCCATCATGCATAATGTATTGCTAGATGTTTTGTTCAATTATTGTGACAAATGTAGCTTTCCCTTTTCATTAATTTATTCATGACATTCCATAATAAGCCAGGCCAGATATTCAGCAGTCACCATCACCCCCACCCCTACATTCCACTGGATAATCCAACTGCTGCTTATATGTGCAGACTCCTCAGATCCTGTCTGGCACTATATTCCCAAGAGTAAGATCCATTTCAATGTACTTTGTTTCTTCGAGGCTAGTCTACAACGATGTCCTCTGTGTGGGTTTACCCTTGAACACTGACTCGCATTCAAAGAGCACCATAATCCTATTCATACATTACTCATGTGTAGTGCAGAAATGTGTCAAGCAAGGAGCAGGGTTGCACTTTCAGCCCTTCCCTGATGTTGTGCATTTTTCTTTCACCAACTGCATGGTTGTGTGGGAAATAATACAGTCAGAAGAAGAGAAGAAGAAGAGTTTGGGCTTGATATCCTACCCTTAAGGGGTCTCAAAGCTGCTAACAATCTCCTTTCCCTTCCTCCCCACAACAAACACTCTTTGAGGTGAGTGAGGCTGAGAGACTTCAGAGAAGTGTGACTAGCCCAAGGTCACCCAGCAGCTGCATGTGGAGGAGCAGGGAAGCGAACCCGGTTCACCAGACTACGAGTCCACCGCTCTTAACCACTACACCATGCTGGCAAGATAAACCAATGACCTGATTCAGTATAAGCCAGCTTCCTTTGTTTCTGACTCATAATGAGCAAGTGGTTGTGTAACTGAGAGTGACTAAATTAAGCCAGTCCCACAGTGCATGCACTGGTTCCCTCCTGTCTTCCCTGCTAGTGTTTACCTCTTCAACCCTATTGGTTTAGGCCCAGCCTTAAATAACACCTCCATTCCTTTTATCCACTACAATTTCAAATTCTGCTGCTGATCCCTCCTTCTGAAGAATCCATGCCTATCCAGTGGTACCTCGGGTTACATACACTTCAGGTTACATACGCTTCAGGTTACAAACTCCGCTAACCCATAAATATTACCTCAGTTTAAGAACTTTGCTTCAGGATGAGAACAGAAATTGTGCAGCTGTGGCGCAGCAGCAGCAGAAGGCCCCATTAGCTAAAATGGTGCTTCAGGTTAAGGACAGTTTCAGGTTAAGAACGGACCTCCAGAATGAATTAAGTTCTTAACCCGAGGTACCACTGTACTACTCATATAATGGAAATTGTGGCAGTTTATATTAACAACCAGCATATATGAGATTATGACCAAATCAGAAGAACAGGTACTCCTAAAGCATACGGTAATTATATTCAGTCTGGCACATAGAGGCAAAGGGTTATGCCACTCACAACATGTCCACCTGGTTACTTGGTCTTGAATGCTGGCCTAGTTCTCTCCACCGCACAAATCACACCAGTAATTTATATGAATAGACCTAGAATATCAACAATATCGTACAGTGCCCTGTAATATAGCACAAAGTGCCTTCAATCATCATTTTGCTCAGTTCATATAACCACAGTGAGTTTCACTCAAATCCTTCTCACTTATTTTTAACAAGACCAGGCCATATTCTACCTCTGGGTATTAATTATTTACACACATTATTTCTGTGGGTACATACACAAAAAAAATTATCATAAGAACTGTCTACAATAAAAATCTATCCTGGGCATAACAAGGTGGGATAATGGAAATTGCTCCAAACGAAATTGGCATCATTACAGGGATAAGGAAAAATCATGGTCTATGGTTTTCCAGGGTAATAATTACAGTCACACAAAGTCTCCCAATTACCAGCCACTGCTGACAGTGTTTATTAGTTTGTGTGAAGAAAAGGAATAAAGAACAGAGAAATGTTTCCAGCCATTTTTAAGCACACCATGGATGAGATTTGGAAACCTGCATCCTGCCTGCAAAGTGACATTGGCCTCTTGCAAAGTGTTTTTTTGTTAATTCTACAAATACCTCCTTCACCAGCAACATTGCCAATATTCTTGCATACAATATGCTAGGTAGAATGCTATTTATTTATTAGGAACAGAGGTAGATGTCCTATACCACACCATTTTGTCAGTTTCCGAGTGTTTTCTGATGGACAATGGCTGTCCAGGGCCTTAGACAAAGAGAAAAATACCCATCACCTTAGGGACAAGGAACCCATAAACCTCCTGGTGTTGCTGGACTACAACTTCCATCATCTCTAACCATTGGCCATGCTGGATAGGGCTGATGGGAACAGGAGTAGAAAAACAACTGCAGGGAACATCAGCAATCCTCATCAGCCATCAACTTAAGAATGATGGGAAAAAGGAGCTGTCATCTATAGATCAGTAACAGGTCCAGGAACAGGAAACAGGGAGTAGGACTAAACAGGCAGTTCTTATATGGGATATAAAAAGTGGGGTCCCCCAAGGAGCCACTACATTTAAATTTGTTCACAAATGATCTGGCATTAGGGTTGTCAGTGAAGTGGCCAAGTTTGCTAATGGCAAGAAATTGTTCAAGGTCATAAAATAAAAATGGGTGGTAAGGAACTTCAAGGGGAACTCAACAAACTCGGTGAATGGACTTTAAAATGGCAAACAATGTAAGCAAGTGTAAACGGGTGTTAAGGTAAAAAAATGGGGTGTATACAACACACACACACACACACACACACACACACACAAATGGGGTATGGACTAACTGTAACTGACCAGGAAAGAGTCATTAGGGTGTGTGTGTGTGTGTGTGTGTGAGAGAGAGAGAGAGAGAGAGAGAGACTGCCAATGTTATAACATTGTTATATGGTGCAACTGCAGTTGGAATGCTGTCTACCGTTCTAGTCGTCGCACCTCAAAAAGGCTATTGTAGAGCTTGGAAAGGTTCCTTAAAGGGCAACCAAACGATCAGGGAATTTGAGAAACTCCCATATGAGGAAAGATTGCAATATCTGGGGCATTACAGTTTAGTAAAATGGAAAGTAAGGGAAAACATGGTAGAGGAGTATAAAATTTTGCATTGTATGAAGATAGTACACAGGGAGATGTTTTTCTCCCTCTCTTGTAATACTAGATCCTGGGTTTCATCAAATGAAGCTGGTTGTTGGGTGTTTCAGAATAGACAAAACACAGTGCTTCTTCACACTCACCCACACCACAAGATATGGTGACCATCACTATCTTAGATAGATGAAGCAATGGACAGAGCACTATCAATAAATGTACTCACAGGAAAACATGATAATTGACACAGCAGTCAACAGGTTCCAGATTCTGCCTTTCTTGGAAGAGCTGGATGTCCCTCCCTCCATAGGCTGAAGAACACCATCAACTTGCAGGCATGTGGCAAAGCCCCAGAACAGGATGGAATCCTAACAGAAGTGCTGAAAGCTGGTTTCATTTATTCTCTCATGTTGCACCTCCACAATGGAGAGGTTCACATCATTACATTCCAAAAGGATCTTGCCTCCTCCATAGGCACAGCCTTGGATTCAGACATACATGAGCCATTGCTCTGCCTCCTTGTGACATAACTCTTCCCTGACTTCTCTCACCTTATATGTAGAGCTAAAGGGGCCCCATCCCTTTGCCATCTCACACAGAGTTTCCTTTAATGCTTTGTGCTATTCTTAATGACTCATCCCCAAGCTATCACCACACACAGGAGTCCAGTCTACCACCACACCACACACAGGTGGCTAGCCTGACCCGAAGTAGCTCAAAATACATGTTAACTCCAGAGGATTTAGAAGTGTCTCTTACACAGTCTAATACAGAGGGTCTAGCTATCACCTCACACAGGAGTCCAGTCTAGTTTGCTAGCCTTTGACAACCCAAGCCTTAATTAAATTCTAGCACCTACTGAACCCAGGAATTTGGGGGGAGGGGGCTAGCACCCACAAACTCACAACACTATAATACATTGTGTGGTGTCCATTCTTGTTACTGATTGCCAGTGCTGAGCATGACTGAGTTTACCCTCTACTCTTTTGCAAGCCCTTTGCTTGTATAATGTTCCTTCCACAAGCACTGCCTGGCATTTGCTGAGCCTGTTCAGTCCTCTGTTTTCCATTGATTTGCTTTCTCTCCTGCCCCAGACAAAAGTAAACACCACCAAGCAAAGTGTCTGCCTTTGTCTTGTCTTCATTATCTTTTAGCAGACATGAACAGTTTTAATATTGAATTGGGGAAGCTTGCTATTAACACACATTTAAAAAATCCCTGTCCCGCAAGGTCAGCTGAGAAGAAGGAAATGAATTGTCACAATTAGCAAGTAAATTTGCAGAGACACAGGAGGTGAGGCAGCCACCTTTGTTGTGCTCTTGACTCTTTCATCCTTTTGCCACTCTGTTTGCTTTTCTTGCATTTTTCATGATGCTTTTTATATAGCGACAAATTGATAGTGCTGTACTCAGAACAGGACTTTGAGGAACCCTACTCAACAAAAGGATGCGGGTGGCGCTGTGGGTAAAACCTCAGTGCCTAGGGCTTGCTGATCGCATGGTCGGCGGTTCAAATCCCCGCGGCGGGGTGAGCTCCCATCTTTCGGTCCCAGCTCCTGCCCACCTAGCAGTTCGAAAGCACCCTTAAGTGCAAGTAGATAAATAGGTACCGCTTTATAGCGGGAAGGTAAATGGCTTTTCCGTGTGCTGCGCTGGTGCTGGCTCGCCAGAGCAGCTTCATCACGCTGGCCACGTGACCTGGAAGTGTCTCCGGACAGCGCTGGCCCCCGGCCTCTTAAGTGAGATGGGCACACAACTCTAGAGTAGGACACGACTGGCCCGTACGGGCAGGGGTACCTTTACCTTTACCTTTACTCAACGAAATGAGCAGGAATCCCACTCAAGCAGAGCTGGCAGAAATGGGCAGAGGGACACCTCCATTGCATGCAGCCCCCTCCAGCATAGTAGCTTAGGGTGTTTCATTGCTCAGTTGCTCTGAAATCTCATGCCCATTTTTCTGGAAGTTGTTGTTGTTGTTTAGTCATTTAGTCGTGTCCGACTCTTTGTGACCCCATGGACCAGAGCACGCCAGGCACTCCTGTCTTCCACTGCCTCCCACAGTTTGGTCAAACTCATGTTAGTAGCTTCGAGAACACTGTCCAACCATCTCGTCCTCTGTCGGCCCCTTGTGCCCTTCATCTTTCCCAACATCAGGGTCTTTTCCAGTGAGTCTTCTCTTCTCATGAGGTGGCCAAAGTATTGGAGCCTCAGCTTCACGATCTGTCCTTCCAGTGAGCACTCAGGGCTGATTTCCTTAAGAATGGATAGGTTTGATCTTCTTGCAGTCCATGAGACTCTCAAGAGTCTCCTCCAGCACCATAATTCAAAAGCATCAATTCTTCGGTGATCAGCCTTCTTTATGATCCAGCTTTCACTTCCATACATCACTACTGGGAAAACCATAGCTTTTACTATACGGACCTTTGTTGGCAAGGTGATGTCTCTGCTTTTTAAGATGCTGTCTAGGTTTGTCATTGCTTTTCTCCCAATAAGCAGGCATCTTTTAATTTCATGGCTGCTGTCACCATCTGCAGTGATCATGGAGCCCAAGAAAGTAAAATCTCTCACTGCCTCCATTTCTTCCCCTTCTATTTGCCAGGAGGTGATGGGCAAGGGGCCATGATCTTCATTTTTTTGATGTTGAGCTTCAAAAAACTTACTTTCTGGAAGTAAGTCCCATTGAATACAGTGATACTTATTCATGAGTAGACCCGACAAAGGTTTCACTGCATATTGCTACTGCAAGGAGGCATTTAAAAGTCTGATAAGTGTGTGTGTATGTGCGCATGTGAAACCAGGCTGCAGTTTTTGCACTTTTAATTTGATGAAATGAAAGGTTGCTACAATTTTAAGTCTGCTGGGGTTTTTTGTTACCTAACATGATCAGTGACAAGTTTATTTTCAAGTGTTTACTTTTTGTTTTTGTCACTGGCAATGCTAATAAGGGACTCTGATCTAGTTTATACCTCTCAACCATTCTCATGGTGAATGAGAATTCTCACACACACTCTCCCTTTTCATATCTGAATCTCAACATTTTATCTCCTTCACTTCACACTCGCATTTGGATATTTATGTAACATTAATTATACCCTTTAATATTATTTCCACAACATGAATGCTAAACAAATTTACATGAAATCATTGTCATCAATGGGATTCATCTCCATGAAAGCATGCTTAGGTTTTGAGGCCATAGGCATGAAAAGGGTGGCTTTGACTTTTTGCTGCTGTATCATGATGTACTGTAGTACACAAATAACCTTTATTAAACTACCCATGATCATTTAAGGAGGATACTGGTTTTTAAATACATGGCTGAACTTTCAGGACATTTTAGAAAAGATCAAAAAGATGGTAACATATAGCACATCAAAGCACCATCTGCTGGTCTGAAATGCTGTATTTGCAACCATTCCAACCTTCACACTTTAAATTAAAGCTTAAGAAATAAACATTTAGTTGTTAGTACAATCCGCTACCAATAAAGCTTTTCATCTTTGTTTGCCCACTTATGGCAAACTATGTTAATTTGAGTTTGAACCAATATTAGCTGAATTCTGTTTATCAAGAAATAAAGATGTTGTCTGCAAGTCAGACCTCTGTTGTGGGAATATTTTCTGAATCTCTTGTTAGTTATTTTTAGAATTACAGTACCTGGCAATTCTTCCTCACTAACTGGTCTCCCATGAGAAACATAGGTATCTCCTGTGGTATATCCTCATGTTCCTGTTCAACATATCAACCATCTGCAGCAGATCTAGCATTTTTTTCTTTGGATGAATCTGTATATGCATTATCAATGTGCTAAAAAGGGATGAAATTTTCATTTGCCTCATCCGTGCTACTTTTTTTTTAAACAAAAGGAGTCCTCAGGTCACTAAAAATATGTTCATAAGTCAGTCACATATGTGACTGGTGGTAAACTTGCCTACCTGTGCTGCCAGTGTCATGAATACGCCAGCTCCGAGTGTAATTTTACAGCTGGCTGCAGAATGCAGTCAGGAACAGAGAGACTTGGCTTTCACATTGGCAGAGGAGAGCCCACAACTGCCAGTATCCACTCCCCCTGATCTTGGACAGCCAACTGCCAAGGGAGTAACTGAGAGCAGGCTGGAACACAGCCAAAGCTCTCCAGAAGCCCAAACAGGCATGAAAAGCCACAGAGACAGCCTTTCGGAACAGGAAGGGGATGTAGCTGACCTAATAAGCCCAAGGCGTAGACTAATAGGACAGCTGGTAGACAGGAAGCAAAATAAGAGATGTAAGGGTCAAAGGTTCAATATCTTCTGTTGTCACAGGAATGACTCTGCAGAAGGGTCAACTGGAGTGATAATTCTGTCAGCTTGGCTAGAGCTGTTCGATGCTAATTGTTGTTTTTGCAATAAATCCTCCTTTTAATTACGTATGCTTATTGTGTTATCAAGCTGGGAACCTGGACTCCTGACAGCCAAATGGTCAAGTCACATGAAAGTGTGAAACGGTAGAGCCCAAAAACTTGGGGTCCAGATGTTGTTGGGTGTACACCTCCTATCATTGCTTGCCTGGAGCTGATGGAAGAGTTTGACAACAACTGAAGGTCACCACATTGGTTACCAGATCTTACTGCAGGATGTACACAAGAGCTTTCCATAAATGGATAGTTAGCTTCATGCTGGGGAAGTTGGTTTTCAGGTGCCCAGTCAAAACTGTTGAGTGTTCCTGGAAATATGCTCAAACAGAATGAGTTTCTGTGGTTTCTTTGGCTGTTTCA